AGCCAAACAGAAGCATTCCTTCATGGCTTCTGCCTCAGTTCCTGCCTTGGGTTCCTGCCATGAGTTCCTGCCCTGGCTTCACTCAGTGATGAATTAATGATGAGAAATATAAGCCAAATAAACCCTTTCCTCCCCAGTTTGCTTTGGATGGTCTTTGTCACAGCAATAGAAACCTAACTAGGACAGCTGTGTTATATAAAGATGCTCTCTGTGCAGTTTCTGGGGACTCTAGAGTGTTGACAATCATCCTGAGATGCCACTGTAGCACTAATTCAAAAGCATAGCATGGCCATGCAGAGATTAGGCCATGCAGCCCCCGAGCAAGCTTCCTGTGGAAATAAAGAAGCAGAAGGGACTGGCCCAGAGTGTGATTACTCCAGCCACTGATCTGAAAGGCACTGCAAGCCCTTTCACTGTTACTGAGCGGCTTCCTGCTGTGATCCCAAGTCAAAACAGGAACAACGTGCCTAATTTGTAATATTATCCAGCAATGTAGGTGCTGTGGTTAGCTTTGATTAGAAATCCTACACTCAGCATGTTCTCTTTGACTGGGGAAGGTATGTGGGGAGAAAAGAGAGACTGAAAGAGGCACATATTAAAACAAAGGGAGCCTTCCCAGTGTGCCTGTGGTTTGGGATCTACAAATCAGGATGTTGTTCTCAGGGCCTCTCCAGAGCTCAGCTGGAGAACCCAGATGCCAGGATATACCTGAAGCCAGATAGCACTCTTAAAATTCTAGCACCAGTGAAGCAATGGCAGATGGATCCCTGGGGCTCAGTGTGCAGTCCAACCTCCTTGGTGAGTTCTGGGCCATCAAGAGACCTGTTCTCAAAAACAAGGCTGGGCTGGGAGGTGGTTCAGTAGATAAAATGCATGCCGCACAAGCTTAAAGACCCCAGTTTAGATCATGAATACACTTGTAAAAGCTGGGAAGGTCTGATGCCCACCTATGGTACTGGCACTTGGGTGGTGGAGTAAGGGAATCAGGAGTTCAAGGTCATGTTCTGCTATATAGTGAATTCAAAACTAGCCTGGGGTACATAAGACTTTAGATAGGAAGGAAGAAAGGAAAAGGTAAGAAATGAACTAATGAAGTCAACAAAGAGAGGAGTAGACAGTGAACACCTTTGGGTCCTAGCAGTTCATACAGAGATTAGTAGGTGTCTTGCACGGGGCATGGAGAGATGCCTCAGGGGGTGAAATGCTTGCTGCATTCAAAGCATAAGGACCAGAGTTCAGATCCCCAAACACACACAAAGCCAGCTGGTACGGGTGTGGCAACCCTCTTGGAATCCCAGCACTCTGGAAGCAGAGACAGGAATCCTCAGAGTAAGATGGCTAACCAGGTGAGCCCAAACGTGAGTTCTGAGTTCAGGGAGAGTCTGCCTCAACATACCATGTAGAAATCGATAGAGAAAGACAATCAGTGTCAACCTTGGGCCTCTGCATGCATGTGCACACACATGTGTAGATATGCATAAACACATGCACACAGACACCGCATGTACACATACAACAAAAACGGAAAATGAAATAGATAAATGTCTTGCAAAGGTGGCATGCCATCTCCCAGTCACAAGGCAACTGCTCTTGAACACATTTTCTTTTCCTACACCTCAGACTGCATTGCAGTCCTGGCATCCACCACGTCTTGCCTGGTGGATGGCTGTCACCTGGTCATCATATGCTCCCTCTTCTACTTTGCACTCTGATTTTAGATGAGAACTGGGTAGGTTCTCAGGTCTTGCTGCTGAAGAGATCTTCAGAGACAGGAAGGGAGATGTGTTCAGGGACAGCTGTGAGGGCTGGGCAGTTTCAGGTGAGTGTCCCCTCTGCTTCTGACACTCTCTCATCCTCCTTTTCCTTGGCCAATGCAGGAGTCCCTGAAGCTACCAGGCATTGCACGAAACCTGTCTTCCTGGGTGCTGGCAGCATAAGCAGAGACATTTCCAGGCATGCCTAGCCTTTTGACATGCTGTCTTCTACAAAGCTCACGCTGGAGAACCACAAGATCAATCACACACAAAATAAAATAATAAACAAAACACACCCTACAAAGTTTCGAGTAAGTTCATGATCTTGCTTTGGTCTGCATTCATAGCTATCCTGCAGGCTGCCAGTTGAGAATGCTTCGATGGATTTCTGACTGGATGACAAGGTCTCTCTGTAATCTGTCCCTTTTGCTGAAGGGTCTGACATGCAGCAGGTAGACCTGTGAAAAAGACCTGCCAATATGCCTGTCTGTCCTGTCTGTCTGTCCATCTTATTGTTTGTCCATCCGTCCATCCATCCATCCATCCATCCATCCATCCATCCATCAATCTGTCTAGAGTTTGGGGCATCTGGAGATTGAATAACACAGTAACATCATGCACTCAGACACTGAGGGCACGCAGCACTCAGTTTTTAAAAGGATTTGTGTCATGGCTATCCATTTTAACAGGAAGTCAGAAAAGACAGGAAGAACAAAAGAACATTTTAAAAAGCAAAAATAAGAGTCCCAGCAGGAACATGAGCCAAGAGACATGAGGGAACTTATTGGGAGTTGCTGAGAGGTACTTCCTGGACGGTGGAGCTGCTGACCCATTGTACACATTCATCAGGCTCCAGCAGCCGGGCTTTCTAAAGTGTGTTTTATTTCACAGAAATAATATATGAATGAAAGGAATGTTTTGAAACATCTCGACATCAAGAGTAATCATGCCTGTAACCTTGGCACTCAGGGGGCTGAGGCAGGAGGATTCCAAATTTGCCGCCAGCCTGGGTTGTGCATAGTGAATTACAGGCTAACTTAAGCAGCATAGTGACTATCTAAAGATGAGCAAATAAATATACAGATTAATTAATTCATTAATTAAAAGTACCACCATAGCATATTTGGCTACACTCATTATGTATCCACAGTTCCACATAGAACAGTATCTTTGGCCAGCCAGCCCGACCTAATCATTCCCCAAGCAAGAGACCCTGCTTCAGAAAGCAAGGTGAATGGGGGCTGAGGAATAATACCTAAGGGTTGGCTTCTGGGCATCACATATGTGTGTGCATGCACGCATGGGGCACACCCATGCACACGCGTGCACACACACACTGTGCACATACTCACACAGAGAAAATAAATTTTAAATAATAATAATTCGCATTTCTAACAAATCCCCAGTTGTTGCTGCTACCTTGAGAATGGACCTGAGGAACCACTGCTCTGGGAGAAAGAAACTATTTGCCAATGCCAGATACCAAAAAGAACCCTAGGGAGTCAAATTTGTGGAGGGCCAGCATGGACTCCACTGCTTCCTGAGTACCTCTGTCTTCCAGAGGAGTGGACACATCTCCTCCCAGCGTGCACCAGCGCTCTGCGCGGCAGGCGTCCCTGGAGGACTGCAACCAGAGACGACACTCACCTTCTGAAAAGATGATGTGGTCATTGCACTCCTCCACGTTGCAGGCACACATGAAGAAAGTCTCACCGGCCCTCTTCTTTTCCTTCATGATACACTTGGGAGAAGTGGCGTCCTCCACGGTAAAGCCATGGTAGGTGAGCTTGGGGTCATGGCAAACGGTCTCCAGTGTGATGTTCTCATCATTCTTCCTCCTGGGGTGCAGAGGGTCAGTGAGGGAAGAGGGAGACAGAAAGAGGGGACACGAGTGAAGAGCCTCCGGATAGAACAATCATGTCCGCACTTTCCTCAGGAAGTCGTTTCTGCTAACAGCAGTCACTTCCTGTTCTCCAGCATCCTTAACTATCCCAGGCTCTCCTGCATCAGCCTCGCTCCCTCCTCTTTTGCTCACCTCAGAGCCTCGTTATGGTTATAAACGGGGCAGCTCTCCTTGGGGGATCTCGACCTGAAAACTCAGGCATGCGCTGGAATCTTTACACAGAAAAGTGTGGAAAAGAGGGGACCTGGGGACCTGGGGACCTGGGTCATTTTAAATCTCCCTCTCCTGGGGCATTACAGGCTCACATTGTGCCTCTAGCTTATGTGGCAGAGTTGGTGTCCCACCTAACCAGAGAGTGCTTAAAGAGGCTACCTGGGGACACGGAGGTGGATCTTTTTCTTTTTACCTTTGGCGGCATGTGTGTGCATATATGTGTACCTGTGCACATGTGTGTGTGGGGTCAGAGGTCAACCTCAAGTACCGTTCTTCAGGAGATGTCCACCTTGATTCTTAAGGCGGCATCTCTCTCTGCCCCGGAACTGGCCACTTCAGCTAGGCTGGCTGGCTCTTGTCTCTGCCTCCAGAGTAACTGGGATAACTGGGATTACAAGTGCGTGCCACCACATCTGGCTGTTTCTGGGGATCAAACTTAGGTCCTCATGCTTGTACAGTAAGCACTTCACAGACTAAGCCATTTCTAAAGCCCATGATCTGTTCGTCCTGCTTGCTGGTCACAAATGACCCAGCCTGTGAGTGGGGTAGGGGGTGGGGGTGGGGGATGGATACATATCATGCCAACAGCTGTTCCCAGAAACAACATAGAAAGAAAGATTCTAATTAAGGAAATGTAAGCTCCTGAATTTGAGAAAGGGGTTGGGGAGAAAGAAACAGACAGAATGGCAAGGTGTTCTTCCGGAACAGAAAAATAGGAATAGTTGATGCCATAGGAAATGGATTATCTCTTTGTCAACCACATGCTTGGAGACTCACTTTGCCTAGGGATTGAAGGAAAAATGGCATGGTATATATTTTGGGAAATATATACCCCTAATGTACTTTATATTTGTTTAAATACTAATCTATTTACTTTATGTGCACCCTCGGGTGCCTGTGTGTGTACCATGTACAAGCTTGGTGCCGGAGGAGGCCAGAGGGGGGCATCAGGTCCCTCAGAACTGGAATTACAGGAGGTTATGAGCCGCCATGTGGTGCTGAGAAGTGAACTGAGCCACCTGGGGGTTAAATGTTCAAATGTATGAACGATCCCCCGGGGTCGGGGGGGGGGAGTGCATTTCACACTCAAATCATAAGGAGAGGTATTCTGGCAATCAGATTTAATAATTGATGGAGGGAGGAAATGACCATCGGTATCTGTATTTGAGGGTCACAAACAGTGGCTCTTGCCATGAGCATGCACGACTCACAAAGATGGAAAACAACACGTTAAGATGTGAATGTGAAATGTGCCCCGTAGGCCAGGTCTATGAACACGTGATTTCCAGCTGCATGTCACTGCCATGTTTTCTCTGCCATGATGGACTAGCTCACCCTCAAACTGTTAGCCAGAACAAACCTTCCTTCCCGAAGCTGCTTGGCCAGGTGTTTTGCCACAGCATCATGTAAAGTAACACAAAAAGCAACCCCCCACCCCCACCCCCTGCTTTCTTCAAAGGCCCCCTTACCACACAGCCACGCAGACTTCATAGGGCTTCTCGCAGATGGCCGTGATGCTGCAGTTGCTCATGCAAGACTTCTGGTTGTCACAAGTCGACGATCTCACGTCACAAAACTTACACAGCTGTGGAAGCTTGACTGCACCGCTGTTGTCACTGGTCATCATGTCACTGTTAACTGAGGCGAGAGAAAGAAAGAGCCAAGGGTTATTCCTCTCCACATAAACCTCATGGCCCGAGTTAGATCCCAGAGTCGAGTCCCATGCGAGGAAGAGAGAAGCCACTCCTGAACTGTGTCCTCTGACCTCCACACAAATGACAAGGCAAATGAGTGCTTGTACCCTCTGTAATAAGTAAGTAAAAGAGAGACTACGGAGGAAGGTAATAAAGAGAGGAAATCCCATATTAGTTAGAATTCCAGGGTTCATACAAGGAGTGACGTGCATCGCATGGGAGTGGTAACGGGGACGCACAGTGACTTCTGGGATTTGTCCACGATGGACACAAAGCTCGCTGTCCACCGAAACCTTATCAATAAATAAAATAAATTGGCCCACCGCTCTGGCTGTTACAAGTCCTTCTGAAGAAAGGTTGGTGTACTGGGGCTGGATATGTCGCTCAGTTCCTAGAGTATCTGCCCAACTATCAGGAAACTCAGAGTCCCATCCTCAGCACTGTGCAAGCTCAGTGCACACCTGTGATCCAAGCACTTAGGAAGTAGAGGGCGGAAGGTCAAGAGTTCAAGGTCATCCTCTGCCAGGTAGTGAGGTTGAAGCCAGTCCAGGCTACATGAGACCCTGCCTAAAGTAACTGAATAACTAACTAAATAAATCGATAAAACAGACCAGGGAAAGGGGGACTACATGGGTGAGGAGGACAGAATGGAGGTGAGCACAGAAGATGGAGGCTCCAGACAAGAGGCCACTACCAAAGTGAGACACTAAGTGGTGGCAGTACACATTAGGGGTTGAACCGATGTGTCCCTACCCGGCCATATCCTCCAAATGTGAGAAACAAAGGGTGAGGGGGCTGGGTGACCACAGTGTGGGGGATGTGGTCAGAGAGGTGGCAGACTGCTGGCAGGTCCTTGAGGTGGAGTCTATCTTCCTCCCAGAGTCAGTGGAGCCGGGGCAGAGGGCAGTCGTGGAGCCGTCCCTTGTGCAAAGGCCCTGGCCGTTCTCTCAGGTGTGGGCTAGGAACAAGACGGCCAATGGATTCTTACTCTCCAGATGTGGACACGGCCCTTGTGTTCCACCACTGCCTTCTGCCCCTTCTCCGCCGCCTCTATGTGGAAAACCAATTACATGGCAAGGCCCGACACCTCTCTGACCACATCCCCTCACTCTGTGCTCTCTCACCCCTTACTCCTCATATTGGAGGGTGTGGCAGACTCTAGGAACACATTAGTTCAATTTTTAGTGTCTATCTATCTCTATCACCTTTGACACCCTTTTGGTCTCTAATTAAATGACATCCTTCATCCTAAAGTGGCCAGCTAGTAACTACCACAGGATTCTGTTTTCTTGTTGGCCAAGCTATTGGGTGACATACTGTCCTATAACCTATCTACCCACATGAAGCCCCAAGAGCCCCAGGGTGCCCCGTTTAAACGCTATGTCCCTGGTGTGCCTCTGAGCACCTGATACAGCGTCTATATTGGTTCCTTTTCTCATTGTTGGCCAAATCCCTGGCAAGTAGCAACCTAAAGAAGGGAGGGTTTGTTTGGTGCCCGGTTTGAGGGGACATTCCACCATGGTGAGGAAGGCATAGCAGCAGGCATGGAAGGCGGCTGGTCACATTTGTATGCAGTCACTCAGCGGAGAGGAATCGAGCTTGTCAAGGACATGCTTTAGAGTGGATGGGGTAAGACAAAGCTGTTATGAATCCACTCGTGTTCTCTGTTGCACAAAGATTAGACACTTGGGCTGCAAGTGTCTGTGGGGCAGATGCTGGCCCCGAGGCAACTAGGAGGGACTTCTCCAAGAGGTCCCCTGGGAGAGGCCTGAGAAGGGCACATGTGTTCTCCTTGTGCTGGCTCACCCTGCCCTGAGGGTACCAGCTTCAATTCCTCCCAGTCACTCTCCTTGATGAGAATTTTAGATTTCTGTCCTCAACGTTTCACCCTGTGACCTCCTTTGTTGCTCGGGCACAGCACCTGCTTCCTGGGTCTCTAAAAATACAAGCTTATATATTTAAGATCTGCTTTCTTGTGGTGTCTGTAAACATAGAAAAAGAAAAAAAAAGTAAAGCCATTCATCCCTTTCAGGCCTCTAGTTCATTTCAGGAAGTATATTTTTAGGTAAGAAACTATTTTGAAATCCTCAATGTCTCCCAGACTGTTCTGCTTAGCTAAAAATATAGGCATCAAGGGGCCCTTGAGCCTTGTTTAAATTTGGTACCAACACAACAATGGATATACTTTTTCCAGCAACAGTTATGTTTGGATCCATTTGTGAAACAATTCATTCAATTCCTTAGATTTCCCTATAAGATAATAAAAGAAAGAAATACAGTTTTGTTTTGTTTCTTCTCTTGGTATTGGCTATGTGTTAAATATTATCTGCTGGCTAGAGACCTTTGGTGGTCTCCTCAACAGATAACCACATCTTTAGGAGATGGAATTTAGCCTAGCATTTTAAGATCTTAGAGTGACTATCAGCTTTGCCTTTGTGGACAGGGCAGTATCAACACTTGAGCAGCTGGAGAAATAGCAAAGCCTTAGGTGACTTTCAGGTGTCCTGACTGAATGGGGGCAGTGGAGGTTTCAAAAGACTAGCTCTGTTCCCAGATAGGTTTTTCTCTGCCTCCTAGTTGTGGATCAAGATGTGAGCTCTCAGCTGTTCCTGCCACCAGGTTTTGCTCCACCATCACGGACTCTGACCCTCTAAAACCACAAGCCTGATTAAACTCTTTCTTTTATACGTTGCCGTGGTCATGGTGTTTTGTCCCAGCAATGGAAAAGTCTCTATGCTCATATGGGTACCTTTGGAAGCCAGAAGAGTGAGTTGGAACACCTCTGGAGACAGAGTTACAGGTGGTAGTGAGATCCCAGGTATGAGTTCTGGGAACTGAACTACAGTCCCTGCAATCAAAGTATGCACTCTAAAACACTAAGCCATATCCTCAGCCCTGGGTCTTGGCCTGCTTTTAAAGCTGAGCAGACGATTCTAGCGTGCAGTGGAGACTAAGCTCCCTTCACTAGAATTAACTGGGGGGTGGGGGTGCACAACAAATTTGAAACAAGGGGTTGAAAATGTGACTCAGTTGGTAGCATGCACAAGTTCTGGTCCCTCCCTCCCCCAACAGCACATAAACACAACAAAATGGTACACGCCCAGCATCCTGGAGGTGGAGGCGGGAGGGTCAGAAGTTCAAGACCATCCTTGGTTACTCAGGGAGCTCAAGACTTGCATGGGCTACCCAAGACAAGACCCTGTCTCAACACCAAACCAAAAACAAACCTACAAACCATTACACAGTGTGTGTGGTGCTGGGAAGGGGGCCCTGTGAAGAAAGCCTGCAAAGACAGGGTTAGCTCAGGTTCATCTCCTTCCCGGGTCTAGGCTAGCCAAAGCCTAGGTGTGGGAGAGAAGCCACAGAAGTCAGCAGTGACAAAGTAACAAGAAGAGCAGATGATACTGATGATAGCAGCGGCCACCACACAGACCACCGTGTGACCAGTGTAAGTGCCTAGGTCTGGTGCCTGGAAAACATACCTGGCAGGGAAGAAACAGAAAGAAAGGGAAAGGAAGAAGGGAGGGAGGGAGAGAGGGAAGGGACATGGAAAGGGAAGGGGAATGAAGGAAAGAGAGGGGAGGGGAGGGAAGGGGAGGGAGGGAGAGGAGGGCAGGGAAGAGGAAGGACACTAGGACAGCAGCTCACAGCACTCTTGATGCCACCTGCAGCAGCCTGAGGTGACAAGGGTCTAAACATGCAGGTGCAGCCTGCATGCTACCCTCCAGGGAGGCCCAGGGGAAAGTCTCTCTGTAGGATTCTGGGATGGGGGAGGTGAACAGCACCCACAGCTCACATTTGGAAGCACAGGCATTTGGAGGAGGTGGGTGAGGGGAAAGTGTGTCTGCTCAGGGCGCTGTGTGCATTAAGAAATAAGTGATGGCACACCATCTCAATATGGCTGGGGACAAGCATTTTATTTTATTTTATTTTATTTTTCACCATTACAGCAAAGCAAAAGCTACTATAGTTAAGGTTTGCCCAGGATATTCTCTTTCCTCTGCCTTCTCTTTGACTAGCTCCTTGACTTCCTTTTTGTAAACTACGTGAGGCATACAATTAACCCCACCCGTCACCCTTTTATAGCTGACAGAGGTTGTACCCCCGTTAACAATTCCATCACCCCCCCACCACCACCACCAGAAGCCTTTTTTTTAGGCCAACATCCCCTTTCCTTTCTGGGACAGCCACCCTCTGTGTGTGTGTTCAGACTGCAACACCGCTCACTGTTCGTGTAGGTCTCAAGTGATTCTGATGAAAGCTCCATGAGGTCACTGTGGGATAAGGAGCAGAGAAATGCTAGCTTTTGTTCATGGTTCCAAGAGGTTCACAGATGCCTGTGAGTAACAAGTGAAGCCTCCCAAGCCTCTCTCTGTGTCCTCAAGATCCCTGACAGCCTGGTAAGCTCATGAGGATGGGGGAGGGAGGCAGCCACACTGCCCATCCCAGTTCATAGGAAGAAACCACGCCAGCCAAGGTGTTCAGCATCAAGCAGGAATTCCTTATGCTTAATCTGTCCTGCATCGGGGCCCAGTTAATGGGAATGCAAGGAAATGCATCTAGATAAACCGTTCAGAACAAAGACAGAATTCGAAGCCGGCCCCCAAAGAACTCCTATCCTGAGACGATCCTGACTTCAGTCCCCAGACCCCAAGTAAAAACACAAATAATATAACCACAACCACAAAAACTGGGCATGATGGCACATAGCTGTCATTCTGTTGCTGGGAAGTCAGTGTCAGGTGGAATCCTGGGGCTCACTGGTCAACCAACTCAGCCTAACTGATGAGAGGAAGAGAGATGAGGGACCTCACTTCAAAAATAAAATGAACTGGGTTATCCTCTCTGTCTGTCTCTGTGTCTCTCTCTGTGTGTCTCTCTCTGTGTGTCTCTCTCTGTGTCTCTCTCTGTCTCTCTCTGTCTCTCTCTCTCTCCCCTCTCTCT